TCCGCTGATTTTTTATCCTTGCACATTCGACAATCCAAAGTTAACCCTTCCCTCCAAAGATCTCTTTCCATTAATACCCTCCTTATCCCTTTTGGTTGTCCTCGCATAGTGGAGTCGAGATGATTTTTATTGAATATCATTTGCTGAATTTTTTGTTGTCCATTAATATCAACAAAAGTCATCGATCGCATTATCAGTTGTTTTCCTCCAGGTCCCAGATTCATTCTTCCTGCGACAAGAGCATCTTTTGCATATGCCGCGTGATTTGTACTGTTATCAAAGGCAAAAACAGCTGTCACATTCGGAAACTTCACTTCAAAAATAGGTATTACTTTATGTTTGATTTGTTCGACGGTCCAATAACCTTCCTGGTTTTTGCCGGGTATAAGGCAGCAACGTGCCTCTATAGGAACATTTGGATGTATTGTTGTTTCCTCTTCACTTAGTTTTAACCGATCACATGCCTCTGAAAGAAATTCGCTCACCATAATGGATCTCCCATTCCCCTTCTTCCGCAATGGCATTTCCCCATCTAATATCCAAATTCTTCTTTTTTCATCATTCGAGTAAAAGATACACTCATCATGAGTGACAAAAATTAGTTCGCGTTCACCTACGCCAAGCACTGATGAAATTGCATCCATCGCTTCTCCTTCATACTTCGTTATTTTTCGTTCTAACTCCCTCATTGTTATCAAAAATTCCTTTCAATATGCAACGACATCCTTCTGCTCATGCCCATCGAAGTATATTCCTTGTCGATATCTCTCAAACTGACACCCCAAAACATTCAACCACCTTTCCGCTGTTCGTAAACTGATTATTTTTTTGGTTTCGATGCATTCGGGAAAAATGACATTTTCAATGTATTGCTTAAATTGAGAGGTGCTTATTCCATTCATTCCAGATTCCTGCCGTATCCATCGTTGACATCATAATGCGATATCTTCATTATCAACAAGTCGCTTATGTTTTTGGTGTCAGCCACATCGTGAAAGTGGAAACGATTCATTATATAAATAAGATTTAGCCAAAGCACAGATCTATTTAGCTGTATATGATTTTGGCGAGACATAGACAACATTCGCAGCTTCCTCGCTTATCTGTATTTTACCATTACCATTATCTAACCGTACAAAATACTTGTAAACGGCCCGCCATTTATTGTATTCGAAAGCTGTGAATATTTTAGAAGATCTTCCCGAAGTTGATTAATCTTTTCGCATAATACTACAGACATTGTTTCTTCCTTGTCTAAATTAGCTGAAGATCCACCAGCA